TTGAATGGTGTGTAAACATGGTTTATTTCTATGTGTCTATTGATGGCTGATTTGTCTGAATGCCAAGCGTCCAGGAATTCCCTAGCATTTTTGGATTTAGCTTAGTCTACAATGCTCACAGTTTCCCAGCTGAACCTGTGGTTAAGTCTGTCCATATGTTGTGAGATTAAGGAGTTTTCATCATGTCTTCTGATTGCTAGTTGGTATTCATGGAGGTGCTCTGCTACCCTTCTGCCTGTCTGTCCTACATAGTGGCTATTACAGTCCTTATACTGTGTGTTGTAGATGACTCCTGTTTTTTCTTCTTTTTGGGCTACTGGGTCTTTTGGTTACTTAAGATGTTTTATAGGGCTTTAGTTGGGGTGTGTGCTATGGTTATGCCTTAGAAGCAGCATTTAAAACCACAGGACATACCACAGAGATCCAAGAAAACATAAGGCAGACAATCATGCCACAGATCAGAAGAACGCAAAAGCTACTCAAAGCAGAGAATAGAGCAGCCCTCAAAAACCTAAAGAGGTACCAAACCATCACCATCCTCCCAGCAGACAAAAGCCAAACCATGCTTATCATGGATAGAAGAAAATACATACAAAAAGCCAAAGAATTACGGAAGGACAAAGAAGCCTACATCCCAGTAAACACCAACCTAATACAGGAACTGGACAACCTGATCAAGAGATCCCTCAACAACCTAACCAAGAAAGGTCAAATCACAAAAGAAAAACATTGGTGGATGAAAAGCAGTGGACCCATTTTCCCTTGGTTTTATTGATGCCCCAAAATACACAAGCCCAATATACTTCTTCATCCAATTGTATCATTACAGGGGATCCCAACATACAACATAGCCAAAGAACTTACAAAAAAGCTTGGATATCTCACAGAGGGGAGCGAATATTCTATCAACTCCCCCCTTATGGTGCCTCCAGAAAATCAAAGACCTAAAAATAGAAGATGAAATTATGGTTTCATTCGATGGCACAGTACTCTTTATGGCCATAGACCCAGAACTAGCAAAAGAATCCATGACAGCAGTACTACACAACACACCTGACCTAGCCACATACTAAGATCAAAATACCCAGAATCATGGACCTCATTAACCTCTTCCTCAGTTTGATGGACAAATATACCAATAAATCAGAGGAACACCCATGGAATTGCTACTCTCAGGACTCATAGCAGAGACTGTAATGCAGCATCTAGAAACTATAGCACTCCCACACATACAACCAAAAGTATGGATCCACTAATAGCAGAGACTGTAATGCAGCATCTAGAAACTATAGCACTCCCACACATACAACCAAAAGTATGGATCCACTATGTAGATAATATCTTCATCATAATAAAAAAGGAATAACTAGAGAAGACACATGAAACAATCAATGACATCATCAAAGGAATAAAATTCACAAGGGAAGAAGAAAACAACACACTACCCTTCCTGGATATCCTCATCAGCAGAGGAAACAATGGCAAAACGCAAGTCTATTGGAAAACAACCCACACTAACCAAGGGCTCCATTAGTAAAGTAACAACCCAACCTCCCACAAGAGGAGCTGTGTAAGAACATTATTCAGATGAGTACAAATGCACTGCAGCGGGCTCCATTAGTAAAGTAACAACCCAACCTCCCACAAGAGGAGCTGTGTAAGAACATTATTCAGATGAGTACAAATGCACTGCAGCAACCCAAAATACCAGAAGAAGGAAACAGACTGCCTATACAACATCTTCCAACAAAATGAATACCCATGCAACTTTATCAAAAAGTGCCTGACCACTCAACCCACAACAGCAAAACCAACACAAGCTATGAAAAGATAACAGTACCATATATCAAAAACATCTCAGAAACAACCAACAGAGAATTACAACCACATGGCATCACTGTAGCACACAAACCAACTAAAGCCCTATAAAACATCTTAAGTAAACCAAAAGACCCAATAGCCCAAGAAGAAAAAACAGGATTTGTCTACAACATACAGTGTAAGGACTGTAACAGCCACTATGTAGGACAGACAGGCAAAAGACTAGCAGAGGACATCCATGAACACCAACTAGCAATCAGAAGACATGATGAAAGCTCCTTAATCTCACAACACATGGATGGACTTAACCACAGGTTCAACTGGGAAACTGTGAGCATCGTAGACCAAGCTAAATCCAAAAAATGCTAGGGAATTCCTGGACGCTTGGCATTCAGACAAATCAGCCATCAACAGACACATAGAAATAAACCATGTTTACTCACCATTCAAAGGAGACAATAAAAAAGCTAAGAAGGAAACAAAAAGATCAGAACACATCCTTTCCAGCAGCCAACACCCAGATAAGCAGGGATTAACACCAAACAAACAATTGAGTAGAAAACAATACCCTAATCAAGGAATGACCAAGGAGAAAACCACACCTCCACCAACATTGGCAGGGCAAGCTACTGTATAGAAACTAGCAATGATGATGTTACCTAGTTGGGTAATGAAACATCTGCAAGCAAACAACCAAGCTCAGAGAGCACCAAGGACTCCTCAGGATAGAAATTACTTTAGAGAAGCATCTGAAACTGTTTCAAATGAGAGTGAACTGTAAAACATGAAACTAGAAGGTGATACCCATACAAAGAATACATCTCTTGCTAGCAGTGGAAAAATAAATAATATGTTTTTAAGTAATGGTTTTTCTAATGCAGGAATTCAAGCAGAAACATGCATATTTCCAGAACTGCTTTTGTCCTGAGGATTTTCTTCACATCAGAAGAAATCTTTAAACAACACCCAGATTATTTATTTTTATACATATACATACTCTCTTATGATGCTATGTGTCTTTCAGAACTTCAGGAAGTAATCCCAGAAGGTATTTATAACTTCATTTTGCACAAGAAAGCTGTAGGTATTCCTTAACTACGGAACCTGATTTATCTGCTTTGACACATGCAGAACTTGCATGGAGAGAGTCTATGTTATTTTGGGAAAAGGCCATAAATTGAACATTGCACTGTTCTCTGTTTGTATATTGGAATGATCATCTAGACTCAAATATCTACATATCCTATATCCAGTGGGCAAAAAGGATACAGATGTATAGTTTGCATTTATGCACTATGGGGACACACTTGAATCTCATTAAAAAATGTCACTCAAGACATCTGGTCAGCTGTCCTAATCCATATTGGGGGTTTTAGCCTACTGTTATGCCCCCAATATGCTTTGAACATTGCCAATATGCTTTCTCAGCAGTAGCAACAGCGTGTCCCCTTTGGTTTCACAGCCCACCCCCAGTGCTGGTTTTTATCACGTCACGTACCAGGCAAAATGAAAAACCACATACTGTATCTTGTGTATCTGGCTAATGATATTGGTAGAACAAACCTTGTGTGATTAGGAACAGGGATGGATTGGCTTAGGGTCTAGTTCATCTTACGGACTGCAAAAGATTCAGCTGTCACTTGTGCCATGCAGCAGATGGACAGTTTGCATCCGATTGACAGTCCGGCGCCAAAGCCTTTAGAAGCTTTGGCAGCCCATTTGCCATCAGGCAGCAGACTTTGATGTCCTGCAGATGGTGGCCTCGGCCATCTTGCATTTGTGTCATCATGTCTGGTGCTGTCGTGCCTTCATTCCAATCACAGGAACGCTGCCGGTTCTGTCTCACTGCCTTTGGAACAGCCACACAACAACTGCACTGAAGGGGAAAAAAAGAAAAAACCATGGAGACACTTCTGTTTAGAATCCCTAATCGATGGATTTCAGAGGTTGGAAATAAATAAATAACAAACAAACATACTTGTATCTATACTTACATACTTATTCTATATTACAAACATTTAAAGCCGTTTCTTGCTTCTATCCACATTTAAAATCCCAGGAGTGCCTGTTACAAACAACAAAACAAAGCTTTATTTTCCTCAGTCTCCATCTAGAACCTGATAAATCTGACTTTCCCTGAACCAAACAACGCACTGTATAATCACCAATCCCATTTTTGTGTGAATTAGGCTGGCTAATTCAGCTTTCCTTCCGTTTGTTTCAGTCTAACCTAGCATACAGTCCAGAACAAAAGATTATTTTTTTTTAATGGGGTTCAGGCTAATCTTGGTCCATGAATAGCCTAGAGTAATCTGCTAGTACTAGAAGCCACGGCTGGAGGTCTCCCAGAATTGCTGTTTTCACATTTGGTCAGGATAGGTAAGAATTCTGACTGGCACAATTAGGAAAAAGCCATGTCAGTGAATCACAGAAAAGGCTGTGGTTTTTCTCTTCTAGGTAGAATAAGTCCAGAATTTTCCACCCATCTTTTACCATCTATTGAATTCTTTTTTTTTAAAAAAAAAAAGCCTCAGAAAAGGAAGGAAAGAAGGAAAGAAGGAAGGAAGGAAGGATATTCAGTAGTGTGTGATTTTCAGGCACTTTAAGGTAATGGAAAATATTTTGTGGGAAAAAAATATATGTATAAATTGTCAATTAATGCACACTGCTTACAGCCAGCAAACAAGGGAAAAAAATAAACAGTTAATTAGGGGCTTTTTGAATCATTGTTATATATACGATGCATCATTTGCAGGTGCTACAATGGTGAAAGATAACCATTATAATTACCAGTATTCAAAGATTCATATTTTTCCCTATGTAATTGATTTAGGATTATCAGTTTTCTTGTAGTTATACAAAAGGCCTGTCAAGGTGTTTCACACGTGTTTGGCTCATGCGTGTTCCAAAAACAAGTCAAATGCCGTTAATTTTTTTCCCAAACATAGCTGAAGGTATTCTGTAGAAAATAGGCCAAGTTTTACCTGTTCCTTGCCTTAATTAAACTGCATTACATATTTTTCTTATTTTCCCTGTCTTCTTCTTCCCCTACCATCCTCTTCCTCCTCCTTCTCCTCTCTGTCTGTCTGTCTCTCCCTTCTCTCTCTCTCTCCCTCTTTTTCTTTGTTAAAATACATCTGTGATTGTTGACTGCCCCAGATTATATCTAAGTGAGGAGTGGGAGTACTTGCACCTGGTACAGTATATGTCGTTTAACAATACATATCATTACATTATTTACAGCTCATTTTGTGTTATTCAATAGTAAACTGCATATTAACCCTTTGAGAGCCTGCACAGAAATATTCCTGCTCCCCACAAAGAGATGCCCCCCTCCCCGCTCTCTTTCCTCTACAGCCCAGAGAAAGATGAAAGGAAGAACATCTATAGCTGAGTTCATAAACAGGGCAGCATGTTCATTACAACCAGGAGAGTTACCTGGGCTGCCTCATTTCTCTCCCAGGAAATCTGCTTCATAATGATATTCTTTAACATGCCACGCTTGTACTTCTGCTGATAACACAGGTTACAAAAGGGACTTGGCACCAGAGTCAATTAATGTCCTGGCTTTTTAACCTCTTTTATTGGAGTACATTCGGCACTGTGGGGACCTCACTATTATGTTGCTGGCAGTACAAGGACCCCAGTGATGCAATTTCATACAATCTGAGCTTTGTCTTTAGTTCAGAGGAATAACACATCATGATTTGGCCTCATTAGGCACTGACTCAGCAGCCTCACTTCCACAGGACGATGCTGCACTTGAGTTGAAAGAACAAAAACTGGTCTTTTCTTCCTTGCTCTCCCTGTGCCCCCCACTCGACCAGAAAAGACAGATTTTCTTGAGTTCTCATCTCTGAAGCAGCATACAATTCTAGCTGAGCACAAGCTTACACAGAAGGGCATATGGAGAAGACCATCACTGCCTAGCTTTTCTCCTAGAATATAATTTTATTCTTCTCAAGTGAAGGCGGGGGGGGGGGGTTACTTCTTTTAGGGAAAAAAAAATATGCACCAGTGGAATGATTGTACCATTAGTGAGCCATTTTGTTATTTATTATTTTCCTTCAAAGAAAAATGAATGTAAAGGACTATTTTAACTCTCTGAAAAGGGCTTTTGCAGTAAAAAAAAAAAAAAAAACAATAAGCAAAGATGTGTGTTGTACACTCTTATTCTAAACACATCCTGAACTCTAAACTACAAGTGTTTCTTGTCAGTGTGGTTGGGGGAGGGGCTTTTTGCAGGAGGGGAGAGAAGTGATAGAGGAATCTGAGGGAATTATAAATGGAAAAGAGCAATGTCTGGATGCCCAATAAAATTGCATGAATGATGCTGGATGATTGTATGGTCATAACCGTTTGGAGTATCGCAAAAAGTGGGAATGTGGAAATAAGTCTTAAATTGAACTGGAAAATGTTTACTGCTGGAGCAGGAAGGGGAAAACATTGGTACGATGATTTTTACAACATTTTCAAACATTTCTTTCAATGTTTGGTATAATGACTTGTCTCCAAAAGTAGCATTCTCTTCATTGATGTGTAGCAGCAACCTCTCTGACTCCAATTATTTCTCAAACACATGGCTCACCATTATACCATTTGTAAAAAATTTGCACAGACTGCACAATAGAGAGTGTATTAATGGCATAGCAAGAACAGAAAGAGACAAGGAATCCATATGGCTATTCATAACCTTTAAATACTCACCAATATCTGTGTTGCTGAATTAATCAGTCTCACGATTATCAGCAATTTAGCTGCATTTTGTTAGTAATTAGCTTGATAAATTAGCATCTGCAATATAAAACTTGACATCTCATTGTTGTCTCCGCTTTATGGTAACTGCAGAAAAAAAATTGCAGCCTACTTGATAATAAAATTATCATTTCTCATATAATATAAATAGATAAAAGGACCCAAACTTTGACATACTGGATATTAGACGAAAAAGTAGCTCCTTTATATTCATTGAGCAAAATATCAAAGCCTAACAGTTCGTAATACAAACTTGAGTAAATGTTATTTTAAAAAATAGTATTAGAATGTTTTCATTGTGAGCTGCTGTGCTTTGTGAGCAAAATATAAGCTCAATTAATTCCTTTTCAGTGGAAGGAGCTGGGAAAAAGCTTTGAGGCGAAGGGACTGAATAAATGGCAGCTTTTAAAATTCATTTACACAAACTGGGCTAGTTTAATAGTAGGTGAAAAACTGAACATTTCTCAGTTTTATTTCTCAGACCTATATTTATAAAAGGAGCTAAGAATCTCTAACGTTTTGCAAGCCAATTTCAGAAAGCATAGAAAATCATCTTTACCAGATGAGCATTTGAAGGCACTCCAGATTAAAATTTTCTAACTTCCACATTAGGAGAAATCAGAGTTAGGTATCTTCCCCTGAAAATGCTAAAAATATAATAATTACCCTGTACAGATGTGCTGCTATAAATGCACAATTCTCTGGCATTTTTTTTCAGCCATGGTTTCCACTGTAGAAAACAGCACTAATGGAAGCATTCTATTAATCTGAATTTGCGATATTCTCTACAATGTATATTACCTTTCTGCTGCCTACAACCTTCTGCCAGGATTTCCTTCTTTCTTCTTCTTTTTTTTTTATGCCCTTCTTTCTAGGAGATACTTTGGGAGGAATATACCATGAGAACAATACACAGCTGCTGCTGTATAGAGATATCTAATTGTCAATATTGTGGAATTTCTACAGCTTATTACTTGCATTCAGTCTAATTCTGGGCAAATTGCCAGTCACTTCAGGGATGTTCAAGTGAGCCATAATACACGTGATACGACTTCACAGCTTTAAGATACCCGACTGTTTTCCCTCTGGCCAGGGAATGTGTGTACCAATGCTACCAAGTGAAAGGGAGGGATCTGATGACAAATAAAATAAAATTTGTATTTTTTTTTCAAGTGGGCTGCATTTCAAGCCCAGATGTTAGTAATGAAAGATTCAATTTAAGGATTTAAATTACAAATAAATAAAGTATGAAACAGATGTGATTTTTAAGGAAGTTCAAATTATCCAGGAAGAAAAATATCTCTGTGCATGACAAAGTAATGGGGATTGTCTTGAGAGACTGTTGAAAACAATCTGCTATGTTAGATACACCCTTAGGACAGGATTGGTTTGGAATGGGAAGGACTGGTAGAGCTCGTCATTAAACAAAAATTCTGTTTAATAAAACTTTATAACCGTGATTAATCCTATGAGGCCCTAAAGGAGTTTGCAGCTTCTGATAAACACATTTTCCTTGTTTGCAATGGTAATAATATTTTGAATTGAATGGAATCTGAACAAAACATTTTTTTGAAGTTGAAAAAAAAGACACCGGGATAAAGAACTTGCCAGTACAACTTAATGTAAAAATTACAGAGTCACAAAGGAAGAAGGGACCACCCACAAAGAGAATTTTAGACTGTATATTTAATGATATATTTTCTTGTTCTCCTGCAGTGCAAACAATAGATTTCTCTGAAAAAAATGAAATCCTTCCATCAATTAAGAGCCAAAGAAGTTAGGATGATAGCAGATCCATTTATCCAAATGAGGCTGTATTGTATCTGCCTAAAGCTTCAGGTTGGGGCAGAACCTTAAAGTGCAGTATGATTGCATGAAATAGATGCCCTCTCCTGCACTTTTCTCCTGAAACTGGGAGTGCCTAGATTCCCCCCCTCCCCCAGTAAAACATCTTGCATAGTAGTAATCCTTAGCTACCAGTACTATGATAAAACCTGATTCTAAAAGTTTGGGATAGAAAACTGGGAGCAGATAATGATTTCAAATCTTTCCACCAGCTTAATCTTCCCGCAGTGCAGTAAAATGTTAGCCAGCATGCAGTGGTTAAAATTCTAGACTAGGGAGACCCCATCTCATCCATGGAAATTTTCAGGATGGGACTTTGTGCCTGCTGTCTCAGATCTATTTTACATGGGTTGATCTTCAACATGCCTGCCTTCCAAAGGTCTGAAAAAGAGATGTTGCACTGCCTTTTCTGATAGAAAACCATTTGCTCAAAACTTTAGTTTTTTCTTCTTCTGTCCACTCTAGTACAGTCTCAGTGTTTCCTTAGATTTCATTGCTTGTGACATTGTTGTTAAAGGAACATTGTAGGGCAAGTTCCCAATCCTAGAAATAGAATGGGCCCAACATAAATAAGGACATTTGGCTGAATCTGGTGTACTGCCACTTCCCCAATGTGTACATAAGCTCTTCCCCACAACTAGCACCTTGGCAACCAGTGCAGCTCTCAAAGTAGAGGTATTACATGGGAGAACTTCAATATTCCCATCACCATTCAACTGCTGCATTCTGGACCAGCTGGAGTAGCTGAGTAGTCTTCAGAGCAGCCCCAGGTAGAATGAATTGCAGTAATCAAACAGGCGGTGAGTGAGGCAGCAGTGATTATAAGCAGGATCTCTCAGAGCAGAAATTATAATTACTGGGTTACCAGCTGCAACTTTGTAAAACTCCCTTGGCCACAGCTGCCACCTGCTCTTGAGCAGGAGCTGTGAGTCCAGGCAGATTCCAAATCAATTCCACATGGGAAAGTGTGACCCTGTCCAGAACCAAAGATGGAGCATGCCTGGAA